CATCGTGCAAACATTGTACAGTGTAGTTACACAACCTAGGTGGTACAGTCTACTACACACCTAGGCTATAGGATACAGTCTATTGCTCCTAGGCTACAAACCTGTTCAGGATATTACTGAACTGAATACTTTAGGCAGCTATAACACAATGGTAAATATTTGTATATCTAGACATATCTCAACCTAAGAAAGGTACAGTAAAAATATGGCATTATAATCTTAGGGGGCTATTGTCAAATATGTGGTCAGGCATTGACTAAAATGTCATTATGCAGTGTATGACTGTACTTCTTAGGTGAGAAGAGTATCTTGATACCAAAAAGGGAATATATTCTAGTCTAACAAAACAATGCATAAGACAACATAAGTACTTAATAAATTTACAAAGATATTTCTAAATGAATTCACAAGTGGTTATCAATATAAAAATCATTTTTAACTTTCTCAGAGTAAGACAATGTTCAATTCAAATGAGTCTGACTTTTTAATTCTATTTTTAATCTAAAGAAAATCTAATAGTAAGTGTTACAACTCCAGGTTGGAATGTTGTATGATAAAAAACATGACTTATTTTTCATACTTTGTAGGAATTTGGCAGAAAAATTTTCTAATGCTTGGAAATCCTCCCTTTACTTCTAGGAAATAATTAAGGTACCCTGTCTTGTGATAATAGAATACTCTAGGTTATCTTAAGAATTTACTGTGTGAACAGTATTGTGCTCTGTGTAAAATTAGAATAAAGCTTCCTTATTATCTCTTGTTTATATTATATCAGTCCTGACTGTGCACTGCAATTTAATTAGTTTTAATATAGTATGTGTGAAATTTATAAATGTAAGTTAAAAATAGTATACTTATTGTTATTATTTAGTTATCAACCAAATCTCTTCCCTTGGCTTTCTTGCTTCCTGAAAACCAAGGGGTAGTCCTAAAAAAGGGTCAGCATGTACCCTCCAAAGTCTGATATAAAACCTATACTGTTTATTAAAATAATGCTATATTCTTTACTGAAACAGGAAGATCTGAATGACTTTTAAAAATAAGATTTAAATAAGTTGCATTAAGTATGTTTTGTATCAGGCTATTTAAGGAAAAAGTTCTGAATCAGGATAGTGCTCCCACTACAACAAAGCAGTAACTAGATTTCACAGGGAAAATCCTCATGTCTTTACAAGGAAGGCCCACAAGGAAACTGTGAGGTAAGAGGACAAGGAAAGGGCATAAACTTGGGTGCCTTTTCTAAATCAGCTAATCATTGTTTTTGTTGAATTGGTTCTTCTGTGTATCAGAGTGGAGTGCATTAGAACTGAAGATGAGTCAAAATAAAACAGAGTATGCTACTGCCAAAAAAGGCTACCCAAATGTCACTATCTTTAAGACCAGTGATAAGCTACCAGAAATATTGTGTTAAGTTTTGTTTTGTTTTTTTTCTGGTAAATTCTCAGAAACCCAGCTAGTTTCTCAAAAAAATGAGCTTGTAACTGTAAAAGCCAGTTTTTACTTTCATTTGTTATTACACACAAAATCTCTGGTTCTCACCAATCAATTCAACTTCCTGACTCAAATGTACTTAAATGTTTTATTTATAAACATACTATGATCAGTTCTTTTCTTTCTCCATCAATTAGTGTGGTAAGCAAGTTGAACTGAACTTTGCAGTTTTGGAGAATTTGGAGTCATCTGTAATTTATGTTTTACAAATAACAATTCCTAAATTATATCAATTATATGTATTTAGTCGTGATTTAATACAAAGAAATTTGAGGGAAGTAACCTCAAAACTACAAAAGCTATATTAAATATTATAAAAATCCAGAATAATTGAAATTGCCAAGGATTAGAAACTGATAGAAACACTTCTGTAATAACTAATTGTAATTACAATTAGTTGTAATAAATAATTGGTAATAATTGGTAGTAATAAATAATTGGTAGTAATAAATAATAAGTAATACATAATTGGTAGTAAGCAGCATTCTTAGACGCATAGTTACAGCATTAATTTCATTATTGGGAAGAAGCAAACAAGCTAAACTTTGTAGTCTCACAAGCAGAAAACATAAGCAATAAGTAAATGAAGTTACCACTCTTGCAGCAACAATTAAGAACCAATGATACATAATTTGCCAACAAAAAGTTCTTTTTTAACTCTAAAAGGAATGGCATCTGGAAGCAACTGAGTAGAAAGTTTCAGCAAAATGAGCTGTATACATCACAGATTCCAATGAAAAAAAAAATATAAATCTGTACACAAGAATGACATCCATGCCTGGCAAGAATGCAGAGATGGGCATTCAGATCAAGGCTACTTCAACTCTACTTCCTAATTCTTTCTTCTAAAATTCTTGGTTAAAATAGTTCAAAGCATGGAAAGCACCCTTAGTGACGACTGAATCCTACAGGTCCATTCTTTGCTGGTGAGAAAAAGACTCACCTCTGTATTTAGTGAAATATACTAAGATCACTTAACATGATTGTAGTAATACCATGCATTAAAAAAATACCCAAGTAAAAGACTTCCTCTGTTTCATGTGGGAGAAGTTATACTATAGAAGGGAAATAATTTAAGAATACATTTCACAATTTTACTATATTTTGCCTTTATAGCAAGAATTGAGAACTCAGTGATATTTTTAAAAAAGTAATCTTTCTCATTAAAAAGTTCTGTAATGCTATATATATAATTTTAATAGTTTTTCTTCCACCTTTTACAAAACACAGATAGTAATTCTGTGTAAAAATCTTACAGAATTATTCTGTTATTTAACAGTTTCTGTAATTCAAACACTTCATGAACATACCTATTAAACATCAGGTGCTCTGCTTAAGTAACTGGCCTACAAGGATGAGTAAGACAATCTCTGACCTCAAGGAACTCATGTTTTCAGCATAATTTAAACAGTGCAAGACCATTTTTATACCATAATGTATAAAACAAGTTTGTTAATATTTCAATATTACAAATTGGTACGGTCACATACAGGGCTCAGTAATACAACCCAAACACCTAAAACAATGTCTAGTATATAACAGACATAAAATAAATTTTTTAAAATGAATTAATTCACTACTCATTTAAAGTAGAAGAGGCCTATCCATGGGACTCATTCCAAAGGCTTTCAATCATAACAAAAAGTTGTCTTGAGTCTTTATGCAAACTTGCAGTTATGGTTCCTAGATTCCTTTGCCTTATTTCCTTAACCCCTCGTCCTAATTTGTTAACATTACCACTGGCCCTTTATTCCTCCTTGATTCCATTTAGGTCACATGTTGGATTTCATCACACAAAATCCTACCACCTCCAGGATCTTAAACTCTTAAAGTTTCACCCTTGAACCACAATTTTCACATTTCCATTCCCTTATTTCTCAACATGACCTTTAGCCTCTCCCAGGGCCACTCCTTGACCTTATCTGTCTCTTTCCCTCTCAATACCATCAATATCTCTCCTGTGTTAACCTTAAAGGAAAAGTCTTATACCTGCTATGTCTACTTCCTCCTCACTTCTCAGAATGTTTCATCATTTGTGCCAAGCCCCAAGCCTCCCTGCCACTTGGTCTGTAAAATGGAAGTTTTCCTAATCACTAGATCCCTCTAATCTTTCATTCTCAACCTCTTATGTCTGGCATTCCTGATTGCGTCTTTCATATTATTATTTTTTTGACATGGAGTCTCACTCTGTCACCCAGGCTGGAGTGCAGTGGCACAATCTCAGCTCACTGCAACCTCTGCCTCCGGGTTCAAGTGATTCTCCTGCCTCAGTCTCCCGAGTAGCTGGCATTTCAGCTGTGTGCCACTAAGTCCAGCTAATTTTTTTTGTATTTGCAGTAGAGACAGGGTTTCACCACGTTGGCCAGGCTAGTCTCAAACTCCTGACCTCGTGATCCGCTCGTCTCGGTCTCCCAAAGTGCTGGGATTACAGGTGTGAGCCACTGCGCCTGGTCCTTTCTTTTCAAAACCCATTATCATCCTTAAGATCTAGGTCATAGAATCCTCTTGGTCCTCTTCTTAACTATACATCTTTCAATAATACTATCTCCTTGATTGGATTTTCTTTTGCTTTTTTCCCACTAAATGTAAAGTATTCCTAAAGATTTTGTCCAGCTGTCTCTTTCCTTCTCTTATGCTTTCCCCTTCAATATTTCACATGCTTATAATGTTTAAACTATCACCTCTATGCAAATGAGTTATAAGCCAGGATTTTAGATCTTTGAGGCAAAAACTGAATCTTATTTAGCTCAGGATTTCCAATAATCTGAAACACAGTAAGTACCTAATAAACTGTTTCTCATTGCTGTATTTTTGGTCACATTACTTCTTCCACTTGAGAACCTACAAAGCCTGTATAACATCCTCTTTGATTTCTGCCCTTTATAATTATATTCTTTACTATTTCAAAAACCTGTTGCTCAAGAAGTATTCTTGAGTCTCCAGACAGATATGTTTGGGGCCTCCTTTCCTTGTTCATGATAGATTATTGGCCATTTGTCCTTTATCATACCATTACTAGGGTATAAAAGTTATGAAGGAAACAGCCATGTCTTAACTATTTTTACTCTTTACAAAACATTGCACAAAGCAAACTGCTATCAGTTGGCAGAGACAACACTTCATAGTACCTGTTTAGGCATCTCCACAACAATAGTTTTCAATTCTTTGTTTCACTTTTCTTTTAAAAGGCTAGAATAAGCAGGAATTATTCTTTAAATGATTAAAATATAACATGCCACTTTGCTCCAATTGCAAAAGTCACTCACAAGGTTAGTAAAAGCTCACTGGGTATTCAGAATGATGTCTCTTTTGTGGCTTTAATCTTTTTATACAGCAGGGATTGCTGTTTTGTTTACACCCTTGGTCCATTGCCAGAAAAATAACCTTAGTCTTCAACCATCTTAACATTTCAAACTACTGTTCACAAGGAAAATTTTGATCATAGACTGATGATGGCTCAGTCAATCCTATAATTACATTTAAAACAAAGCATATTCAGTATTAATAAAAAAGGAGAAAGATACTTTATTTCACAAAACAAAATACAACTCAAGTCAAATAGGCTCTATTAACCTTATGAGTACAAAACAAAATTATCTGGATATTACAATGTTCCACTTTTAGAAAAGCAAATGTTTCTCATATTAATGTACTTAATATCAACAGATGTATTGCTCACAAATAAAACCTGTCTTGATGAAAACTTCTGAGTTCTGCTCAGAGAAGACAATTGCAAGCTGATGAATTATATCATAAAACAATATTTTTAGAAGATCACAATTTTTTTGCAGATATTAACATTCAAACATAGTTTCAATATTATGAATATAAATATTATTTTAGTTTCTATTTTGAGAGGTAACTGTATACATTTTACATAATAAAACTTAATATACATCTGCAATGCCTATGTTCTCAGATTATAATGAGCCGAATACTTTTCAGCAAAGCTTTTCAAATTCTACTGGCCAAATCAAATCACTACATATAAAAGTGATTAAAATCAGTACACAAATGCTGGTGTGTGGCAGTAACAAGGCATGGTAACTACAAATGTCTTTATTGGTATTAATGAATAATTCATTAAGGTTTTCTACCTGAAATTGTACTGAACTAATGCTTTGAATCTAAACTACCAGTGAACAAAATCTCCCATCACTAAGGAAAAGTCCAGAAAGTAAATAAAACAAAATAATTGTAAGAACTAAGTATGTTAAAGCACTCAATCGTTTTAAAAGTCAAGAAAATTGCTTACTATGACATAACTTTGTTTTTTTGTGTGCTAAAAATGTCTTTTAATCTTTCAATGCTACATAAAATTGTTATATCTTGTCTTCAAATTTTGTCTCTAGTTCCTTAAAATGGTAAGTATAAATTTACAACATTATAAAATCAGGCTCTAATATACATCTTGCAAAGTATGGCTATTCATTAAAAATGGTAGTATATTCAAATAAAATTGTTATGAGGACTTTAGTTAATATCAGTAATAAGTGAGTGTAATACCAAAATGAACATCATCAAAATTACTGTAAATCAAAGCAATATTCAAATTACTGGCTCACACATTAAAATTCTTCAGTATATTAATATTTAAACATTTCTGAACTCAAAATGTCCAAATTTTGTAAACCTGAATTTTGATTAAAGAACAGAAAGAAGTCTACAGTTACTGGTGACAAAACATTTCTCTCCAAGTAATTCTCATTTCACTCTTGAATTCTCAAAATGTTTTGAGCTAGTTAACCTTTTTTTTTTATTTTAAGAACAAAACAGGTATATTTCTATTAGACTACCTGATACAGAAGGTAGTGTGGTATGGATGGATAGTATGAATGACAAATAATACAAATATATTTTATTTGAAATAAACAAAAATGCATACGCAGCTCAATGGGTCACTTGGAAACAAACTGTTGCTTGACTATATTACTGAGCAAAAACAAAACTAAAGCACAAACACTTTTTTTTTTTTTTAACCTGTATCTGGAGATAGACAGGAAGACACTACTTGTTTCTTTTAAAAACTGACCTTCCCTTAAGGCCGGGTCATAGAACGATAAACAATGTAAATGAATCCACCATTACCAGTTGTTATATTATATCTATGTCATCTGTGTATTCTGAGATTACACACATACCTGCCAATATACCTGGAACAGGTTATTTTATCACAGTTACACTTGAGTTCTTGAAAGGCAGGACTGAGGAAGAGTAATTTGAAGTAAGTTTTACATCCTATTTAGAAGAAATCACTAGCATTTACTTAAATAACAGGTTACAATAGAAAGATACTGCCTGGAATTTATCCTTTTCATTTTGGTTCATTTTTAGTTTTTGTTTATGATTACATAGCTGTTTAATTCATTTGCTTATAGTGCAATCCTGCCACAAAGTACTAAAGCACAAGATACCTATTATTCCCTCAACATCTGCATTTTTCAAGTTTTATACTCTACATCCACAGTATTTCAGTAGTTCTTGACTGTTTAAAAAAATAAATGGGTAAAACTCTTCTAAAAATGCAGATGTCTATAACTACAATGGCACTAAGATGGGAAGGAGACAATGAGAGAAGGGATAAAAGCAAACATGTTCATGTGCAGGGAACATGGTTCAAGTCTTTGGATTTAAAAACAAGTTCCCCAGAGAAGCTGACACTTCCTTTGCCCTCCAAAAAGAACCTGAAAAGTCCCAATCCAAACTTTCGAAAATTACAGTTCTGAGATGCAATAAATGATGATCAAAGCAGTCAGAGGGAGAAGGATGAACGTGTCTTCCATTTAGCTATAGATTGTAGTATAGCCTCTTTAGGTGCTGGTGGGTCAGTGAAAACCACTGAAGTACCAGAAGTGCTTGGAAGGATGGGGTAGAAAGTAATGACCATAATACCTTGTCTAAATCAGCAGCACGGCTTCATGGCTAGGAAACTTTTTTCAACAGTAAAATGTCTCTAGGATAGATCTCTCTCTCCAACATAAAATGTGCCAGAATTAACAACAACAAAAAAAGACTTACACTTGGATATAGCAATAACAGAAAATTGCAAGGCAGAGAACACAAAAGAATCAAGACAATGCTTATAGGTTCAACAGTATTCCATGAGGCTAGAAAACTGGTTAACTTTAAAAGCTCTAGCAAAATAGCACTCTTGTTTATAAATCACTTATTTATCATATGACCACACGTTGAATCCTTGTCTTTCCACATAGTGAAGAATCCTACATTCAGCCTTTAGGCATTCTGCATTTCTTTGGCAATGTTGTAGCTGAGTATCTTGTTCTAGTCGATTTTGGTGTGGGTACCTGGAAGCTGCCAGCGCAAGACCTTGAATGTGGTATCTGACATTGTTTGATAGTTTTCACTAATTGCTGTCTGACGCTCATTTTCTGCATTCTCTATGATTTTAATAAACTCCTTGGCAGTTTGTGTGTCATTCGAAACAGTTAGTGAATCATGTACATCTTTATGACTAACCAACTGAACATTGCCATCTTCATAATAGTGAACCTGAATCTTAAGCACTCCAACCACCTGGCCTGTAGGTGGTGTGATGGTCAACTTCCACTCTGATCTCCAACGACCATTCCATAAGTTTTTAGGCTGACTCTGGTGGCTTTCAATACACGCAATAATAGTCTGTTGCCCATCGATAGTTTTAGCATAAACAATACAGAGGCAGTTGGAATAACGGTCTTTCACACAGGCTCTTAAAGCACTGTCACAGGATTATCTCCAAGACTTCAGACCTCCATCTACTTGTTCTGGCTGGGGGTCACTTGCTTCTTTCTGTAAGTGATCAAATTTAAAGGAAAAGTTGTTTCTTGGATCTAAAACTCTGCTATTGCCCAGGTCACCATGCTCTGTAATTAAGACCTGATCTTCATATCCTTCTATCTTCACAGGTGTGAACTGATTCACGTTGTAATGAGCAAATGCATGTTCTGCCCTTTCCCTGAGGAGGTTGTCATTATTACGTAGTAGCCAAACATCACTGAATACTTCATTAAATTCCCCTGGGGGTGCATGAGTGATGAATTCAGCAGCTATGCGTACCTTCTCCTCATCCAACACACAATCAACAAAGTTGGCCATCTTGCGCTGTTCTCAACATTTATATTTTAACACTTAAAAAGATGCATGGAATGGAAGCAAGGTCTTTTTTTTTCTAAGATATAAATAGCTTTTATTTATCTTACACTATATGAAATGTCATACACTATATGAAATGTATTGTATCTTGTAAATATTTAAAAAATCACTTCTGATGCTAATCTGGCCCCAAGTGTTTTTTCTTAATTATAAATTGAAAATTTATAATGACATAAATTTATAGGGTACAAAGTGATATTATAACCTCTGAATACAATGTAGAATAATTTAATCAAGGTAATTAACACAGCCATCACCTCAAATACTTAACTTTTTGTGGTGTGAACACTTGAAATTTACTCTCTTAGCTATTTTGAATATTCACCACACTATGCAATAGAACTCAAAAAAGAGAAAATAAAATTTCTCCTGTCTGAGATTTTGTACCCTTTGATCATCATCTTCCCATTCCTCCCATCCCTCAGTCTTTGTTTTTCTTTCTTTTTTCTTTTTTTTATTGAGACGGAGTCTCGCTCTGTTGCCAGGCCACAATGTTGTGGCGTGATCTCAGCTCACTGCAACCTCTGCCTCCCAGGTTCAAGCGATTCTCCTGCCTCAGCCTCCCGAGTAGCCGGGACTAAAGGCACACACCACCATGCCCAGCTAATTTTTGTATTTTTAGTAGAGACAGGATTTCACCATGTTGGCCAGGATGGTCTGGATCTCCTGACCTTGTGATCTGCCAGCCTCGGCCTCCCAAAGTGCTAGGATCACAGGTGTGAGCCACTGCGCCCAGCCATCCCTCAGCCTTTGTAACCACCATTCTACTCTCTGTTTCTGAGTTCAATGGTTTTAGATTTCACATGTGAGACATGCAGTATTTTGTGTTTCTGTGCCTGATTTATCTTATTTCACTTAGCATAATGTTCTCTGATTCCATCCACAATGTTGCAAATAAGAACATTTCTTTCTTTTTCAAGGCCAAATAGTATTCCATTGTGTACATACCAGATTAAAAAAAAATACATTCATCTGTTGATGAACACTTGGGTTGATTCCTTAATGTGTCTATTGTTAATGGTTCTGCAATGAACGTGGAAGTGCAGACATCTCTTTGACAAACTGTTTTCAAGTCCTTTGGGTAAAGCCCACAAACAGGATGGCTGGATCATACAGTAATTCTATTTTTAGTTTTTTGAGGAACTTCCATACTATTTTCTATAAAGGCTGTACTAATTTACATCCCCATTAACAGTGTACAAGGGTTCCCTTTTCTCCACATCCTTGCCAATACTTGTCTTTTGTCTATTTGATAAAAGCCAATCTGACAGGTGTGAGATGATATCTTATTGTGATTTTAATTTGCATCTCCCTAACGATTAGTGATGTTGAGCGTTTTTTCATATATCTGCTGGCCATTTGTATGTCTTTTGAGAAATGTCTATTCAGATTAGGTTTTATTTTTATTTTTGAGACATAGTCTCGCCCTGTCACCCAGGCTGGAGTGCAATGGTGCGATCTCGGCTCACTGCAACCTCCACCTCCCGTTTTCAAACAATTCTCCTGCCTCAGCCTCCCGAGGAGCTGGGATTACAGGCGCCCACCACCAGGCCTAGCTAATTTTTGTATTTTTAGTAGAGACAGGGTTTCACCACGTTGACCAGTCCGGTCTTGAACTCCTGACCTCGTGATCTGCCCGCCTTGGCCTCCCAAAGTACTGGGATTACAGGTGTGAGCCACTGTGCCCAGCCTATTTTTATTTTTAAGCAGTTATTTTGAGATTATTTTGACTCACAAGAGTTGCAAAAATAGTACACAGAGTTCCTATATACTCTCTGTCCAACTTTACTTCTCCTCATGTTAACATCTTACATGACTAAAGAACAACTTTCCAAACTAAGAAATTAACTTTGATTAACTAATTAGAATAAAGAATTTATTCAGATTTAATCAGTTTTCCCACCAATGTTACTTCTCTATCCCAAGATCCAGTCCAGCATCTCATATTACATTTAGGTGTTGTGTTTCCCTAATTTTGTAGTCTGTGATATTTCCTCAGTCTTGTTTGGTATGACTATAATACACTGAAGTGTACTGGTCAGAGGTATTTTGTAAGATGTCCCTCTGATTGAGTTTGTCTGATGTGTTCTCATGATTAGAAGAGGTGATGCATTATTAGAAAAGATGGTCAATGTGCCCTTCTCAGAGCAATATATCTAGGGCCCATAATGTTACTATGTAGTGCTGGTGACATTAACTTTGATCACTTGGTTAAGCTGGTATCTGCTAGGATTTGCCACTGTAAAATTACCATTTTCTTCTAAAACAGCATTTTTATTAGAAAACAAGTCACTGGGAGCCGTGTTAACTTTGGGAACAAAAGCTGCCATTTAATAACATCAAACATGCCGAACAAGCCTTGTTCAAGAAATGATGCATCAATACTCAGGCAAATGACTATTCTTAAAAGATAAGGACAGTTCCTCTTTTGTGATAATTTTTGTTGGATCTAATGAAAAAAATTAGAGTTCATAGATTAAAACGCTAAAAATACGGAATATTTTATATACGTTTCTATATTCAAATATAGCCGTACTTCTAGTAAGGAAACAGAAAAAACTAAAAATAATATAATTCTTATTTTACTTTACTTACCTTATTCTAAATCTTGTTCATCTTATGTTTCAACAAATAAGAAAGTCTTAGTTTTCCCATAATGAACATAAATTATTACAATTAGCTTTGAAAGTATAGACTGGGTGTATTAATTTGCTAGAGCTGCCATAACAAAGTACCACAACTGTGTGACTTAGAACAACAGAAATGTATTGTCTCATGGTGCTGGAGGTTAGAAGTCTGAAATCAAGGTGTCAATAAGGCCATGTTCCTTCTGAAGGCACTAGGAAAGATGGGTTCCATGATTCTCTCCTAGTTTCTTATAACCTTGGGTATTCTTCCTGTGTCTTCACATGTGCTTCTTGCTGTGCATGTCTCTGTGTCTACATTTCTCCTTTGATAGAAATACTGGATATGTATTGGATTAGGGCCCAACCTAATGATTTCATTTTAACTTGATTAGCTCTGTAAGGTATCTATAACCAAGTAAAGTCACATTCTGAAGTACTAAGGGATTAGGACTCTAACCTATGTCTTTTGAGGGGGAGGATACAATTTAACCTATAACATTTTCTTTATATTTTTAAGAGAACTTAATTGACTTGAACACATTACCTTTCTCAAGTAACCTACTACTAAAATCCCAAATTAAAACTACAAAGTTCTACTAAAAAGTGAAGTAAAGTAATAGTCCAAAAATACTTGTGATCAAATCTTTCATTAAATAAACCCCACTGCAAAAAAAGGCTAGACAGTTGAAAATTCAACAGCCTGAACAGGCGCGATGGCTTACACCTGTAATCCCATTATTTTGGGAGGCCGAGGTGGGCGGATCATTTGAGGTCAGGAGTTCAAGACCAACCTGGCCAACATGGTGAAACCCTGTCTCTACCAAAAATGCAAAAATTATTCAGGCATGGTGGCACGCACCCAGCTACTTGGGAGGCTGAGGTGAGAGAATCACTTGAACCCAGGAGGCGGAGGTTGCAGTGAGCTGAGATCACACTACTGCACTCCAGCCTGGACAACAGAGTGAGACCCTGTCTCAAAAAAAAAAAGAAAAGAAAAGAAAAGAAAGAAAATTCAAGAGGCTTTATTTAGGATTTATAGATGCCTACAACATTAACACATCAACTAAAAAAGAAAATCATGTTGTAATAGTTCAGAGTATAACATAAATACTCAAAGAAACTTTGGCTTTATCCACAAACCACCAAGGACAGGCCTGTCTCATTCCCTGATGATTCCCTACTAAGTATAAACTTAAGTCTTGGCTGTCTGTTAAGTTCTAGTTAAACCAAAACTTTTGACTTCCAGGTTTTTTTTGTTTTTTTTTTTTTGAGATGGAGTCTTGCTTTGTCACCCAGGCTGGAGTGCAGTGGTGCAATCTCGGCTCACTGCAAGCTCCGCTTCCTGGGTTCATGCCATTCTCCTGCCTCAGCCTCCTGAGTAGCTGGGACTACAGGCACCTGCCACCACGCCCGGCTAATTTTTTGTATTTTTAGTAGAGATGGAGTTTCATGATGTTAGCCAGGACGGTCTCAATCTCCTGACCTCATGATCTGCCCACGTCAGCCTCCCAAAGTGCTGGGATTACAGGCTGAGCCACTGCGCCCGGCCTCAGGTTTGTTTTTCATACATTGCCTCTTCAGTAATCTAAACTGATCTTTTAAATTCCTTATCCTGTAGCTTATGATGCCCACCCTTAACTAAAATCTGCATAGTTACTTGATATTACCAGAGCAATGCACAGCACAGCTCAGAAAACTTATTAATCAGAGTTAATTATCATTTAAGTTTTAAGTCTTAGTCCTGTAAATTCATCTCTCCTTCCCTTCCTTTCTTCAATAATTGTTTCTTATTATTATATATTTTGTGCCAGGCACTGACTGGATACATATTGGTAAAATGGATAAAGTCCTTGCTCTTTAAATGTAGAAGAATTGACAAAAAAGTAAAACACCACCAAATGTCTAATTATAAATTGTGAAGAGTGCTATGGAAGAAATTATAGGTGCAGCAATTACCTAGACACTATAATTAGAGGTCTAATTAAGGTCTGTATTAGTCAAGATTCTTTAGAAAACAGAACCAACAGGTTCTGTTTTTTACATATGATTTATTACATATGATTATAAGGAATTGAGATTATGGAGGCTGACCCAGGAAAGCTGGTGGTATAATTCTGAGAACCAAAGGGCTGATGGTGTAAGTCCCAGCCATGGGAGAAGACTGATGTCCTAGATCAATCAGTCAGGCAAATAGAACTACTTCTCTCTTCCTCCTTTTTTTTTTCTTCTCTGCAGGTCCTCAATGGATTAGATGATGCCCACACTGCACTGGGGAGGACAATGTGCTCTACTCACTCTACTGATTCAACTGCTAAACACCCTTACAGACACACCCAGAAATAATGTTTAACCTGAGCACCCATGAGCTAGTCAAGTGGACACATCAAATTAATTATTATAATATCTCAGGACATCTAACCTGAGACAAAGCATGAGGAAGAATCAGCTTTATGAAGATCTTCCAGACAGAGGGAGAGCATATTTGAAATTCTGAGTTGGGAAATAATGTTTTGTATCTGAAGAAGTAAAAGGTCAGGGAGGCTGAAAGATAAGGGTTCAGAATGAGAACAGTACCAAATAAATTTGAGAAGGCAGGCAAGATTAGGTCATGGAGAGTGTAGAGCCTTATGTAAAAATTAAATTGTAAGTACAAAACATCCAGCTCGATATGGCTAGGTGAAAAAGTTAATCTAATGACTCACATAACTCAAAAGCTTTTGGGAAAGGCTCATTTTATAGATGAAGAAGCTAGACTGAACGTTTTACCAAGACCTAATTTCTCCTCTTCCGGTTCTACCTCCTCAGATGGGCCTTTCCTCCCAGGTTTCTGGAGCAGGAAGCTGCAGGTGCCAGTGCA